GATCCGATGCCTTCTTCTGGCCTTTCTAGGTATCTGCACACATATGGTACACACACACACACACACACATACTCACCACACACACACATGCATACACACACACCACTCACACACATGCACACACACACCACAGACACATGCACACACACCACTCACACACATGCACACACACACCACAGACACATGCACACACACACATGCACACATACTCACCACACACACACATGCATACACACACACCACTCACACACATGCACACACACACCACAGACACATGCACACACACACATGCACATATACTCACCACACACACACATGCATACACACACACCACTCACACACATGCACACACACACCACTCACACACATGCACACACACATGCACACACACACCACTCACACACATGCACACACACACACCACAGACACATGCACACACACATGCACACACACACATGCACACACACACCACTCACACACACATACACACCACTCACACACATGCACACACACATGCACACACACACCACTCACACACACACCACAGACACATGCACACACACACCACTCACACACACATACACACCACTCACACACATGCACACACACATGCACACACACACCACAGACACAGACACATGCACACACACATGGGGGGGCACAGAAGATGCACATAAAAACAAAATCAAGTTTTAAAAAAGTGTTTCTAAGGGTTGACAAATACTTTTGATATGATAGAGAATAATGACAGATTCCATTAAATAAGTACCCTGGAAGAGAGAAAAGCAGCATAAGTGCTAAGCATTTCAGAAGTGGAAACTAGTTACTCGTTAGGATAACACTGTGGACTATTTTAAAAATGATTGCCATTGCAATGATAGTAAAATTGGTTTTAGTCTTAATTACATTGTACTGAAGCCACCTTAAATAACTACTAGAAAAAGGATACAAATTACTTCCAGGATATTAAACAACTTAAGAGAAAGGTCAGAAATCTTTGCAAATTCATGAGAAGGCAGGAGATGAGAGGACAATTTAAACTCCAACTGTAGGGAAAAAAGACTTGGGAAAGTTAGCTGGCATTGCCTGATGATCAAATTCTAGTGATTACTCCAGAAGATAGTGAGCCTTGGCCACTACTCATGCAGAACAACACGGGATGAGTTGTGTCAGCCATTAAGAGCAACACTTTTACAGTCATGGAGCTAATTTTTTTCCTTTTAATTGAAATAATTTTTATTAAAATCTCAGCAGCATGAGAAACTTTGGGCTGCAGCACAGAAAATGAAGAAGGGAGTTTACTCCAGAGGCATCTTCAGAACCTCAAGCCTGCTGCGCTGGGAGAGGGATTTGTTTGATTCATCCGGAAGGCACTGCCGGCTCAGCCCAGCAGAGCAGAAGTATAAAATGCCAGGATGGAGATAAGGAAGTTGGTTGGATACCTGCTTCCTATGAGGAACTACTCCAGTATGTGTTCATAATCAGCGATGTTGCTATGTTGAGATTGGCCTTGGGTTACTATTCTTAATCAAAGGAAGTAATTCATGTAAAATGCTCCAGAAACTAGAAAGAGACACACAAAATAAAGGTGGTGCCAACATCACCACCACCATCATTTTGAAGGAACTGGAGAATCTAGGGTGAAAATTCTGATGTGTGTGTGTGTGTGTGTGTGTGTGTGTGTAACAAATGCAAGGATCAAGTCAAATGATGAAAACAATAAAGATAACTGGGCGTGGTGATGCAGGCCTTTAATCTAAGTGTTCAGGAGGCAGAGGCAAGTGGATCTCTGTGAGTATGAGGTCTACAAATCAAGTTCCAGGACAGCCAGGGCTGTACAGAGAAACCCTGTCTCACTAAAAGCAAAAACAATAAAGACACCAAGAGGAGAGATCTTAACACTCAAAATGACTTAGAAGAAACTGGAACTGTATTTCATGCTATCTGAGTAGAAACAGAAAAGTGTTCGCTGAACACAGCCTACTAGATAAAGCAGGGTGGCCCAGAGTCCACAGTCTTTAGACAGAAGTATGTCATATCTGCTAAAGGTGATGGTGCAGCCACCACAGGCTCCATTAGTGAAGGCAAGGCATCCATCCATCTCTCTTTTGGGGTAGATCATGCAGTGCCTACTTGTTTGTGTAATGGTACCACGTTTAAGAGGCATATTTTCTGTGCCGTAGTAAATATGGCTGATTTTGTTATGAGTGGAAGAGCTGAAGTAGGCAGACATGCTTCAGCCAGGTAAGAAACTGCTAAATAAAGCCAGACATACTGGTGCAGACCTTTAATTCCAGCCCTTGGGAGACAGAGGAAAGTGGATCTCTTTGAGTTCAAGATCAGCCTGGTCTACAGAGTGAGTCCCTGTCTGAAAACAAAACAAAACAAGACAACAAGAAGGGAGAGAGGGAGGGAGGGAGGGAGGGAGGGAGGGAGAGAGGAAGGAAGGGACAAATATGCTTTCTATGACGGAAAAAAGCATTCTCAGGAAGGAGCTTCAGGTTGGCATGAGAGAACTTAAGTATAACTCATCAAAGTTCACGTTTCTTTACCAGGAAGGGCAGGCTGGCCTGCTAGGGACAGAGCCCCATTTGTGGAGCTGTTTAAAATGAGGTAGTAAGTGCATGCCAGGGGTGTAGCTCAGATTCCAGGGGAACCACTTCATTCAACATCCTGGAGCTTTTCTCTTCCAACATCAGGTATGAAGGTAGCAATCGTGTTATCTCTTCCCAACCAACAACCAGCGCTGGGGGGACCAGGCTGTTTCACGAGCACACCTGCCTAGGAGCCATGCTGACAGCTGGACAGCCTATGGCTGATAGTGCACAACGTCTCCACACGGACAACAGGTAAAGGCTTCTTCTGTCTACTGTGTACAAGGCCGCAGCATCACAGTACGGATCTTACACTGGTCCATGGAGCACAGTCAGCAGAGGGAAAGGGCACCTTTCATGCCAAACTGCGCTGGAACCACTCTTTCCAGAATTGTTACAGAACAGAACATGGCGGCAAGGCAGTCCTCTACCTGAGCAGACTCATCTGTGAAAATCAAGATGTCCTTCCTAGCCTTTACAGTATGAGCAAAGTATGCCTCTAATTACTGTGCCCAGGCCTTCACTCCTTACTGTCATCTTGTCCACAACATGTGACTGCCATGTGTTGTCAGGCACTCCTCCCCTCCGCGCGGAGCCCTTCCTGAGTGCTAATTTTAAAAACTTGCCCAGCTTTCCAATATGCCTCTATATAGTCTGTTTTCGGGAACTATTTCTGGTCTTGCTTCACACCAGGCCTGGCAGGATGATAGCTGTCTCCTGGCCCCCACCGGTAGAGTACTGGTCTGCTTTCCCAACTTCCAACTTACCCTTTCAATCCATTATTCTTGCTTTATTCCAGAAAGGGGCTAAAAATACTCAGCAGTGTTGCCAAATCCTTACTCTGACAGGCATACCTGGTGATTTAAAATAGTTGGCGATTTAAAATAGTTGCCGTTATGAAAATTGTCTCTGCTGCTAAGCAAAGAGAAGATGAAGAAGAGAGGGGGAGAGCAATATTGCCCTTCGTGAATGGGGATGGGTTAGAGAAGGGAGAGGCTGTGGGGGATGAGTCAAGATGAGACATACTAGGAGACCTTCCCAATTATCTCGCAGAGCAGAGGGATCACTATGCCAGACAGTTCCCACAGGACCCAGTGCTTCTGGCCAGGTTGATACAAGATTAAAAAATGATTATGATGATGTAAGAGTTTCGTCTTACACATCCATGAACTACAACTGTTTACTAACACACACTGGTTGTGGGGATGGACTCCACACAGACAATTTATAAACTGTCCAAATCCACTCTCACGTTCAGGCAAAGTGTTTCCAACTGCTCAGAACTGCCCCATTTCTAACTGCACTGTTCAAAATGCAAAGGGGACAGAAACTACAAATGCTTCATAAATCACTTGACAAGGTGGCATTCACTATTTCCTACAGGCCAAAAAAAAAACTAAACAATATAGGTATCTAAGGTCTAACACTACCTACTGCCCATGCTTAGGGTGGCATCTATCCCTCACAGAACACTCCTGCTATATTACACCCGATGCAGGACCTCTACAAGGAACAGGGAGGACAAAGCGGGTACTAGGGACCAGCTCACCAGGTCTTAATGCCTCAGACCAGAGATCAGTTGCTCCACAGGGGCTGCGATGACACCAGGCAGGTTTCCCACATCCTTCCTATGCTATGGGGCTATTGACTGAAGTCCTAAGAAAACATTTGCGGAAACACCCTGACATTGAACTCTATAGTCAGATCTCTGAAAAGGACAACGCATAGTTGGGATGGGGTGGGGTAATAAGGCAACTTTTCAAAGGGCTCGGCTTCTTTGTCTATAACTTCATTTCTTTAACTGGCTTTAATCGGTTCAGGGCACGTGTGGGAAGGCTGAGGTATGCCAGAAAGAACATCCGAGAATAGAACACTATTTTTTATGGATAGTTAGTTCTTCGTGGGAGACAACAGGGGCAGGCGGCCCGCGGAAAGAACATAGCTATGGCCTGGCTCTAAGGAGCAGATATAGAAGAGGGACGGAGTCTTCCAGGGCCGCTGCGGAGCCATCAGTGAGTCTAACACCTAGCAAGATCCAGGAAAGGAGTTGAACCTTTTGGGGGAGGGGCGCCCTTTCCATATGTGCACTGGGAAAGAGTTTGGGTGGAAATTAGAAAAGGCTATATCGGTCCCTTGGAAGCGGATGCAGCGTCACGGGCACCGCAGAGGGCGGCAAACAGTCTTGGGCTTCACATCCAAGTAAGAGCATCTCCTTTGGGGGACAGCAGGGAGCCCAGTCAATGCGGGATTGTGAGTAAACAGGCTAGCATTTCGGGCTCCTCAGCTGGGTAGGCTCGGACCTAGATCTGCAGAGAAAGAGAGATGGAGCGCAGAGCAGAGGCAACCGAGGTCGGAAGAAAAGGGTTCACGAGAAGAACGCGGGGACGCGGCGGTCGTGGCCCTTACCTTGCTGACCACGTTCTGGACGAGGCCAGTGCGGATGCCGTAGTCCCAAGCGTGGCAGTCGCAATTTGAATCGTTGTTCCCCTTGCCTGGAGGGGACGGGAGGGGTGGCGTGTCGCTGTTGTTGCTTCGGTTGCTCGCGGTCCCCCAGGCAGCAGTGGAGAAAGGGGTGACTGGGGGACTGGTCCAATTGCCCATGTCGCCCCACCGGCCGGTGACAGTGGCACCCGCTAGCTCGGTGCCTTTGCCGGCCCCGCTGCACCAGAAGTTGGGCTGGTCCAGGAGGAAGGAGTCCGAGAACTGGCTGAAGCCAATGAACAGCGCCGGGATCCAGGTGAGCACCACCAGGGTCTTCTGGTAGCCGCCGCCCAGGCCCCCAAGGAAAGGCAGCACCGAGCCATCGTAGTCCAGCAACAGGAGGCTCGGGGCGGCTGCCGCCGCGCAGCAGCTCGAGTGCGGGCCGCCGCTTGGGTGCAGCGCCGGCAGCGGCTGGATCTCCGCGCTGCCGCTGGAGCCCGCGCGTCCTCCGAGGGGCGCCGAGGCCGCCGCGTCCCCGGGCGGCAGGGACCCGTTCTCCTCGGCCGGGGCCGGCTGCCGTCCGGCACCGCTACCCGCCGCGTCGCGCCGCCGGTCTATCGCCATGGCCAGGGCCCGCGGCTCCCGCAGAGGCGCATAGAGCGCGGCGGAGCTCGGCGGGCGCCCGGGCACAGCGCACCGGGCCGGGCGCCCGCAGCTGCCGCCGCCGAGGAGGGCCCGCGGCCGGAGAGAGAGCTCCGGGCCCAGCGAGAGTCAGGCCGTCCCCATGTCACCCGCGCACACCCGCGCCCTGGGCGCTGCGGCCCCGCTCGGGCGCCCGGCAGAGGCCGGTCGAGTCCTCAGCCGCTGCGGCTCATCCGCACCGCGGCCCGGGTGCCCGCCGAGCTCCGAAGCTCTCCGCTGCTGCGAGCCGGCTGGAGAAGAGGAGGAGGCGGTACCGCGCCGGACCCGCGCCCTTGTTGCGACTCGCGGCCCTGCGGACGCCGAGGCGCGTTGTGCCGGGGTCGCCGGCGGCTGCGGGCTGGGAGGTCCTCCACAGACTTGGGGCGCTCCCGGAAGCCGCGAGCTCGCAGCCAGCCTGCGGAGCCGGCCGCGCTCTCGGCTCACCAAACCGGCCTCCGCCTCCCGCCCCGGCCCGCCCCCTCTCCCCCCGCCGAGGTGGAGGTAACCGCGGCACCTGCTGCGCCGCTCCTGAGCGCGAGCGCCCCCTCTAGCCGAGCCGCGCCGCCGCCGCCGCCTGGACAGACGCAAGGGCGGGGAGAGGGACACCCCGGCCGCCGGAGGATCTCCGGCGGCGGGCGGGGGTCCCCACGGAGTCGGCGCTGGAGGGGGGGGGCAAGCGAGGGGACAAGGTCGTCTTCCAATCTCGAGTCCCACAAACACAAGGGACCCCACCCCGAGCACACCGGCTCTCCGTGACCTCTGTTCGTTTTCGAGGTGCCCGGTGGCTGGCACCCCACTCCTGGTCCTGAACCCGAGGATTGCCTGCCTTCTAAAACAACCCTCTGTGCTTTCCCCAGACTCAAATAAGGGTGCTTTTTATGGCTAGGGAGCAGAGGCAAGGGTGCGTATTTGCCAATTTTAGGTTATCAGTTCTTCACAACGCTGGGTCACACTCGACCCACTGCAGAACCCATCCCAAATCGCCATTTCTTTCCGTGCTTCAAAATGAATGTCAAATAAACACAGTGCTGGAAGGTTATACCCTCAACAAGAGACACACACACACGACACAGATGTGAATGAGGGCGGCTTGCCCCACCCCCTCCACAAGGTCTCGGATTCACAATTCCAACGCTGTGTGCACAGGCGCACACACATCTACACCTCACAGGAGATCCAAATGCTCTTGGCGCTCTGGACTCCAGCGGCAGCCTTGCCCAGCCAGCACTATATAAATAACACCAACCCTGCGGCAAAGGGCCGCATTAGCATATTTTCTCCTGCGCACGGGGCCTGACACCGATGAGAATTATGTGGCTTTCATCCTAGCTTCACTATATTCTGGAGACATTTCATATCCTGAGAAGTTTATTAATGGAATTAATGGAAATCTTAAATGGAGCAATCTATCTCTAGTCGTATTTAGCACAGGGAAAAAGAGAAACATGCATTCGCTTACTAAAAGCATAGCCTTCTAGTACACGTATGGAAAGCATTCTTTAAGCTTCTCCATTATTTGCTCAGCTGCATGTTGTATAATTTAGTGCTAGACATTAAAAAAAAAAACACATGCAGCTCAACGTTCCAGGCAACATGTACTTACTGCTGAAATTCTGGCACTCGGAGAGAACTATTTCTGACGACTGCCAGAGGGCTGGACTTTGGGGGACCCTACTGGAAACTCTCCTAAGTTGCTGGGCAAGGGAGATTAGATAACAACAGGCAGAAGAGACAGGCTTCAGAAGACACTAAAGGTCTGGGGAACCCAGTCTGGAAACTTCAGCATATTTAATGGCATATTTGAATGAGAATGTCATTATGATACCCATCACTTTGATTATAATCTAATAAAGTATTATTTTAAAAGATCAGTTGGGAGTGACAATGCACCCTGCCAATAATATGATAATGTTCTTTTTATTTTCAATTTTACCTTATTAGTTTAACTTTTCTTCCCCTCCTCCTCACTTGAAGAGCTAATACTTCAGAAATACTGAGCAGAACAGAGAGTCAGCACCCAATGAATGTTAGACATTTATTACTGGCTTCACCCATTACACACAACCTACATTTTCTTATCTGAATTGAAATGTAGCAGGCCAGGCTTTCTTTCCTTCCCCTTTAGTGCTGATTCTTTCAAAGGAATCCTGCTTGAGGTCTACTTCTTTACCCATCTGCTCACTAGGACTCTATTTGATGCTTTATAACTTATTGCAAAACAAAGCCATTGATTTTGATAATGGCTTGTCTAATTGAAACAATAACCACAGGGGACTTTGGAGGGGCTTGCTTTGAGATCCACCGTCGTTCAAACCTCAAATCCAGGGCTGAGGTGAAGTTAGATGCCTAACAAATGGCCGATTTCAGAGCCTTAGTCATCTAACTTCCAGTGCTCTTTCCTTCCAACCTGCAGGGTTAGAAGAGTTTACTGAGATGTTTGTTTGAATGGAATGACAGATACTTTGACTAGTATTGGCTTTGCTACATATGTATGTATCAAAGCATCCTATATACATTAAATATATACAATGAAATAAAGTTTAGATCCTTACAGAAAGTAAGCACTGTAAAATGAAGTCTGTTTGCCTTTTTAAGAAGAGCTGTTTATTAAGGTATGCTTTTAGGTGGGTGCAGCCCTGGCCCTGAAGGACCTTCATTTTGAGGCTCTTTGTTTTATTCCAAAGGGTAGCAACAATCTTCAAATGATGTATTCTGAGATTTTGGAGACAGATGGAAAAAATGGTGCCCTCTAAAGAGGAAACATAACTAAACCAACACCAAATGTTTGGAATTCAGCAGCAGCAGCAGCAGCAGCGGCGGCGGCAGCGGCCTTAACCCAGGCATTGTGATTAAGTTACTGATTAGATTAGGGGTTTCCCTAAATCCCCTTTGGAGCAACATTTCTCCCAAATCTAGTCAAGAAGATTAAAATGTAACTAATTTAAAATAAACTGGCCTTCTGTTTATTAAAAAGCATCACACATGACCTCTTGATGAGCCCTAGAACAAAAGGAGTAAAGTGGAATTGACATTCCAGAGTGGAAGAAGGCCACCAAGGTGAGTATTTAAAGGCCACTTCGCTCATATAGAGAAGCCCAAAAGACACCTGCCAGCAACAGCCCGGTCCTTAATCTTCTGCGTGGCCTTTGCTATTACCGACTGTTTGTCTTGCCTGCCTACTGATTTTGTTACCTTCCACCTCCAGAATGGAAGCACCTTGTGGTTCCCTTACTCAGCTGCATTCCTGGGAGCTATGATAGCAGGGCCTGGCACTCCTGAGAGTCTCTGTGCATACTTGTCAAATGACAGAGTGCACCCAGCTGTGATCATCTGATGATTCCATCTATTCAGATCAACAACTGGCTTTACTTTGAGTCTTAAGTCATTAAGCAACCTTTTCAAATTTGTTTAATCTCTCAAACATAGTGCTCTGCTGCGCCAACATGAGAATTCAGATGCACTTGACAATTGCAGGCCTTGTGAGCTACTGTGGTTAATGGATTATGATAATGGTTATCATATGAAGTTGTCATTGGCTTGCAGATAAAGTGCAGCCCGCAGGTTTTCCAAAAACATTGCTCCAGCATTTCAAAATGGAAGAACTGAATGTGTTTGGGAATTCTCTCAGCACAGCAGAAGTCTGGTCCTCTCCTTACCCATATTTGTGGGGCCATGCTCCTTTGAAATAGTAGGAAAATGTTCCCCAGCTTGTCTTTATTCCTGCCTGGTACACACGCATGTCATCATCTGGGTCAGGAAGCATCTACATCTGAGTTCATGACCCTAATTCGTATTAGCTTCCTGGGTGCAATGTCGTCGTCAAGAAGCGGAGTCATCCTTGCTTCCTTTGACGCTCTCTTAAGTAATCTATCACTTTGCAATTCTCCCAAACCGAGAAAAGGAAAATATAAAAATATAATGCAACCTAGTTAGCAATATACTAGGAAGAGTCTCCTTCACCCCCACATCCCGCTCTGCTTGGAGATAGCAGGAGAACAAAAAAAATGATTTTTGACTTGCTTCTAAAATTGAGGGACACCCAATTTTGAAAGTTAATCCCAAGGAATTGGTGTCAGAGTTAACTAACGTGGATCAGAAACCATGTCATACTAAATGGATTGCAGATTGTTTCTGCTTGGCTGTTCATTTTCTTTATATTTGAATTATAGGTGGGCAGATCATAAACTGCATCGTCTTTTGTTTTATGGCAGCTTCATTTCTTCCCATCAGATACTTGCTTGAAAGATAGGCTGCCTTGTTTTCCGAGACTGTTCCCTTATGGTGATGTGAAGCAACTCACAGCTATAGCTGTGTATATAGTATTCAAACATTATTTTTTATCATCCTTTGGCTTCTGGATTGTCAACTCTTACTCTTTAACAAGGAACTTGACATTTACAAAACCTATCATAAATCAGAATGAAAAAGCTACTTCCATTCTCTGGCAGCAGAAGTAATAAAAATGTCACACAATCTCTTCTAAGGAAAGCTGCAGGGAATACCTGGAGAAGCCACCTGCTTGTCTACCGCAAACCAAATTTATCCTTCCTGGCCACAAATCACAAGAAAATTATGAAGTCTTCCACATAAAAAGCTACTCCACTGCCATTGGGATCAGCAGGGCCCAACTGCTTTCAAAAGCTTGGTTAAAACTTAATTTCAAACTGGGTGGATGGTGGTGCACGCCTTTAATCCCATCACTTGGCAGGCAGAGGCAGGCGGATCTCTGTGAGTTTGAGACCAGCCTGGTCCATAGAGCAAGTTCCAGGATGGCTAATGCTGTACAGAGACACCATGTCTCCAAAACCAAAGAATAACAAAAGCACACAAACAAACAAAATACAAGAGCAACAAAAGCAAAAACCCTTAATTTCAAACTCTTTTACTGAGTTAAAAAGTTCTCCTATCAAATGTATGTGGAACTTGGTGTTGGTTTTTTGGTTGGTAAGCAATCTGTTGCATTTACGGGGGCAGCTGTTGGAGAAGGAAAATACAAGAGTGGTTGCCGGACCGGGCCTTACAGAGAAGCTGTCAATGCCTCGCTCTAGCACCAGAACAGCCACCTTCTGTTTGAGGAGACACACCCTGAACCTGGCTTCTAGAGTGAACACTAGGTTTTGGCTATGAGTGAACAATGTATAGATTATCACTGCCGTGCAGACTTTGGGGAAGGACAGTTCAAGTAACAGATTTAGGGCAAGGAATTTTCACTTCCTAAGATGGGTAAAGAATGTTCTTTAAACAGCCCTTTGTATGTATCTCTTCCTACTGGAATTCAAATAAAGAAAACCCAGCAGGTGGTCTGGATTTTCCTAGTCAAATCAAAGGTCAGTAAATACTTTGTTTTACAATGACTAGAACGTACAGAAAGATAATCAATACCCCTAAAATACCGATGCACTATAGACCCAGAATATACCTTATGAAACTACATGC